TTATGAAACACTGAAATGTTTACGAAATGACAGTTAAATTGCTGACGTTCTCATTGAAATACAAACTTTCTGTCTTAGCCAATCAGAACGTTCGTTGATTACCAGACGTTACTCGCGCATGCGCATAACTTACAAAACCACCCAACGTCGACCGTCCATGACAAAGAATTTGGACAACTTTGGATTCGTGTATGTTCTACCGGGTTCCGGCTGTAATTCCTAATCTCCGAGCGGAATTAGTACCCTCGCAGGCTCTCCGCGCCCGCTCAGGGATAAACTCTTGTAAATTTGAAAACATGAATTTTTTGCCTTCGTTTTTTGAAAATTCTATAAACGACAAAAATCTTTACGAGTTTACTCAAAATGAATATTGAAAGCATTAAAACACTCTTTGATTGTGCATTATCAGGTTTTACATGCACTCGTTCACAAACAAGGAACTCTAATTAAGTTTAATACTATTATTTATACAATAGTATTGAATTTCTCGTTCATTGTTTGTGAACTCGTGCATGTAAAACCCGATAATGCACCCACAGAGTGCATTAATCCTTAATTATCAAGGGCGAGGTTGGTGATATAGATAACGTCAACCAAACTCTTGATAATTCTGAATATCACGTAAAATGCAGTTTGACAAGAGTACAGTTTGTGTATACGTGTGTGCGAAATATGCTTGTATATATGTGTTTATACAAATGATAAATTATAGAAAGTTAAAAATCAAACGAAAAAATTTATTAAACACATGCATAGCCATGGCTCACTGGCAAAAGCAACATTAAATTCGATTACGCATCTCATAATTTTTTTGTGTGTGAGAAAATGTTAAAAAAAACCAATAACAAGTTGCAACATTACAGTTGAAAAAATGGAAAACTCCTTTCTTTTTCATGTACCAAGTAAAGGTAAATAAATATCAGGAAAGATTGACATTCCAGCTGTCTTGATAGGTATACAGGCGCAACTATACCCGAAGGTGGAAAGCAGGCATTTAAAAACAAATTATCTCCTTCTTTTGACACATTTGTAACAATTTAGTAATAGTCTCCTCTTGTACCTGCATATCTTTAGCAGTCATATATTGTGCCTTCATCTTCCATGAAGTTTAATAAGCGTTCTTTAGTTTTAGTGTCCGGGAAGTTCTTTACAATTTCTGTAGCACCACCAGCTCGAAAACTATGAAGTTAGTAAGCATGTTCATCCTGACCTATAATTGAATCAGACAATCCTTAAAAAGCTTACAAAATCTTGCATACGAAACAGCTTTATTACAAAAATATATTGTTTTGTATTTTCCAAGTGGACTAATACAGTCTTTACTGTCATTTAAAGTTATATTTGGTTGTTGAAGATATTTGTTTCGTAAAATCCAGGACATGTACCTTTTATTCGATCTCGAGATAAACATGGCCTGACCCTGTCGATAAATCTTTCTAATATATGACACGCGGTCTTGTGACTAAATGGCGTGCGCTGATTGGTTCTTTGCCGGTCAGGAATCCCCCAGTATTAGACCGTTGCCGTAGTAACGGTCCAACTCTCATACTTTTGAACAAAAACAAGCTTGCACTTTTATTTTTGACACGAAAAATATCGACGGAGAATGGACGATCGAAGAAGAGCATTATTTGGTACATGCGAATATTATATTTATTCATCTTTGATTTTTGTTTATATTACTGTATCATTCTTATTTAACGAGTAAAAAACAAAGTTTTGGGAGCCACTTCAGTGCTTGCTTGCTTGCCGACTGGCTGGGGAAAGAGCCGGCAAGAATGCTGCTGTGCATTGTGTAAATAAAATATGGCCAGAAATCTGATACAGCATGGCCGCCGCGCATGCGCATCGTATCAAATTCGAGTGATAGAAAATCTGGCTGACATAAAATCCTACTAGTAAATAGTATTAGATTTGTGCACGCATGAACTATTTCTACCAATTTTACGAAATGCATCAGGAAAATTAAAGTCCCACAAATCTTAAACTACAGTCTATTTTATATTCTTTCAAAAAAAATTAAAATATTATTAAACATGATTAGTGCAACATTGTTCCATTTGCACGTTTGCATTAGACTATAAAACGAGAAAACCCCCCATACTAGCTTCTTCATACATGCAAAAATAATCACAAATTTGATGCAAATAAGTGCTTCTTGCGCCTCTGCATCATAGTTTGATGTACTTCCACAAATCTGTATACGATGTTTACATGTTAGTCTTCATTTTGCGTTCAAAATTAGTGCCTTATTTTGTGCTCTAACCTGTTCCAAAACGCTTTGAAAAACTGCACAATATCGCCGGTGATCATAGCATGCGTTATGGCCATTGATTGAAATTGTACGACGAGAAACTTGGCAATTTCTTGTTGTGTTTTGATTTTCTCGGTCGTATACTTCGCCATGTTATTTTAGGAATGTCTGCAGGGGTTTTCCCTAACCTTGCACGTGTAAACATGTCGTAATACCTCATTTGCAAGTAAAATGTCGGACAATTTGTCTAAAAATCGCTGGTCTTTTGAAGATGAAATCAAGCTTTGTCAACCGGATTTACGGTATGCAGCTAGGAATAATGAGAAAAAGATCATCTGTACGCTGGATATACCTTATCCTCTTTTGAAGCAATGGCACGGCATTGTATACGGGTATGTTAATAAGCCAAATTCAGCACAGACGAGTCAACCAGATATTTGCCCTGATCGCCCATCGTCATCGAGTTCTGATCCTACTTCGACGGCTAATCGAGGCAAGCCCGTGAATTTTGTTGATGTGCTAGAATATTGTATTCCGGACAGATTTTTTATGGTAAGCACCGATATAACAGTGAGAGAAAAAGTAAATGAAACACTTTCAAAAATTGCTGGTGGTGTGGCACAACTTTATAGAAAGACCAGGGAAGAGCTCGAATAGATTTGGATAAACGGATGAGAAAATTTCATTTGTTTGAAGGACAAACCAAGCCAATTCATGATTTCCATGAGGAAATTAAGAGTGTTCAGGATGAGTTAAGAGAATGAAGGGAAAATATGTGAATTTGGAAGAGGAGAAAGAAAAAATTTATAAAGAAATGCAAAACGCGTTGGAAGAAAAAGAGAAAGTAATTGAGCATTTACAGAAAAGTAACAAACAACTTGAGGAGTATGCTGAAAATCTTTCAAAAGTTGTTGGTCTTAGTTCCTACCAGGGTAAGTCTGTATCAGAAGCCAAGAATAAGACTAGGACTTTGAAAACATTTCTATCAAGAGCAAATATGGCATTATGGTTTACCTCATCATTTGGCCTAGAGTTAGACACTCTTAAAGTCAGAGAGCATGAAACTGGACAGGTTCACATTGTGAACTTCCAACAAGAAAATTTTATTCAGGAACCAGCATCCAATGATGAATCTGGTAGGGATCAACTTTCAGCACTTTGCCAGAAGGAGAACAGAACAAAATTGAGCAAATCCTATTTCTGCTTGACAAGTTCTGTGTGGGAGATAATTTTTATCATGAGTTGTCAATGATGGTCGATGGACTTCCAAGGTCATATTTGGTAAAGCAATGCCGTAAAGATTTGAACAACATGTGTCACTTAGAAGGATTGAAGGGCAAGTTTCCTGGAGCCAAAGTGAGCTCTGTGGAAAATCTACTAGCAGATCACATTTCAGCCTATATAAAAAAAATCCTGGTTTTTGTGCAGAGACTGATTCAATTCAAATTAAAATCAGTGGTGATGGAGCAAAAATGACCAATAATTCTAATTTTATTTTATTATCATTTGCCATGTTGCAAAGCGGTGAAAGTGTTATGTCAGCTAAGGGAAACAGAACAATTGGAATTGTAAATGGGAAGGAGGATTACAACACAATAAAGGAGTCTTTTGGGGATATAATAAATGAAATAAATAAACTTGTTGCTGCTGCTGGAAAAGTAATTGTAAATGATCAAAACATAGACATTGAATTCTTCTTGGGTGGGGACTATAAATTTATCCTAATGATGCTAGGACTGAAAGGTGCAACATCAAATTATGCCTGTGCTTGGTGTAAATTACACAAAGATGAGAGGTGGAGAATGGATCAACATTACACTCACTTTAACAAACCTGAATTGTCCAGGTCTTTGGAAGAAATGCATGCTATGTGCACTAAGTCAAAAGATAACTATTGTTGTAATCAGCCGCCGTTGTTTAACATTGATCTTGACCATGTTGTACCAGATGAGTTGCACTTGCTACTTCGTGTGACAGATATTCTTACTGAAAACTTGGTGCTGGAGTGCATTGATTGGGACAAAGAGGAAGAGATTGATTGTCCAAGAGGTTCAGTTCGTGGAGTTCATCTGGAGAAGCTAATCCAGACAGTTAGATCTTGTGGTGTATCTTTTGATGTGTGGGAAAAGAGGGATGCTGATGGGAAATCAAGTGGCCATCATGATTGGACCAGCTTGCTGGGGTCAGATAAGAAGCGTCTTCTGGAAGAGTTACCTCAAAAGATGGCTGGGATTTTGCGTCCAGAGACTGTTGATGACATTATAACAATATGGAAAGGTTTTGACGAGCTATATAAGGTAATAACTAACTGGAGTCCAGATGAAAATCCAACAGAATTATGGATAATGGCTAAGGACTGGGTAAAATGTTTCCTTTCAATGAATGGTAAGAGGGAAGGCTATGAGAGAAAAAGGATAACCCCCTATATGCACATCATGGTACAGCACTTCCCAAGGTTTTTAGAGCTTTATGGGTCAGTGAAGATCTTTACAGGACAGGGGGTGGAAAAGAATAATGATGTTGCTCGGAATATAGTTTTGCGAAAGTCAAACAAATGGGACTCGGCATGCGATGTACTTCGACATGAGAAAAGGCAATGGGAACTGCAGGATTGTGAAAGGAAACCTAGAGCTTACACTCAAAATAATGAGTTGTATTGGGAGAGTGGGATCAGAGAAAGCAGGCAAAAAAGAAAACGAGTAAGTGCAGTCAGCAATTAAATCAAGATGGTAACCTATCTAACCAGTCAAATGAGTGTGTGCCCAGTGTATTCAGTACTACCCATGACACCATCCCTACCAGTAGCGGCAATGTGGATTATTCTAGATTAACAATTAAGGAATTAAGGCAAGAATTGAAAAGGCGTAATGCAAAAGGATATAGCAGAAAGAGTAAAGCAGAACTTATCAAACAATTAACTGAAATGTAAAAATAACTGTATATAACAAACCATATATAAAACTTAAGAATAATAGTATATTTAATCTACTGTAGGAACTGTAACAGATTGTCGTACAAAATCAATTGATAATTTTTCAATTAACATCTGCCGACTTTCCTGAAGTGTTCCACTAGCCATGCTAAAACTTTTCGGTGACTTCTTTAAAAATGCCCTCACTTTAACAGGGTATTTTATTGCTACTCCATCACCAATCCTATTTAAAACTACATCCCAATTGTCTACAAACTTACATCTAATAAAATTGTTTTTTTTCTAATAATAAATACTTGTTGTCCCTTGATTGTCTTCCCTTCCCATAAAATAAATATCTAAAAACATCATGCTCAAAATCTAAAATTAACTTGTTCCTGTTCTTTGACTTTAACTTTGTTGTCAGAGCCACCTGTAGAAAGTCGAGATTCCTACATAATCTCTCAGGTGGAATACATGGCTTGTTATAACTCCTGAAAAAGAAAATATCAAGTACACATTTAAGAATTTAATGTAGTGTACATGTTTCCAATTTGACAATTGTTAAGCAGCTTTGCATTATCAGTTATGCATCATCAATTGCAGCACATCAACTCATTCAAACATGCAGAGAGTGCACAAACATTTATAAGAAATATTACACATTATAATGTACTGAATTTAATAATACTCAGTCACAAAATACCTTATGAGATCAGCAGTTAAATTATCTTCCTCTTCCCATGTATTTTGGAAGGCACTATATCCTTTCCATTTTACCAAGTATTCCGTCTGTGAAAGAGATAATCAAAAAATGTTATTCAACGGGATTTAGAATCAGCTGCCGCTGTAAAATACTATTAAATACACGATTTCAAATGCATGTATATAAAATATAAATTCATTAACATTTCCTACCGTATTTCGCACTCTCTTCTTTGAAACCAATCTCTCTACTGGATAAAACTCACGAGAAGCCTTCCTTTTCCTTGATTTGAGAGATTTAGAGCCTCCCCAAAGTAAATCTCCCGAAGATGCATTGTGCATTTGAACGTAAAATCCCTCGTTATTTGCATATTCGCGCAAGCCACCCGCCATCTTTATGAATATTAATTAGAAAGACATGACGTATCTCAAAATCCCCGAGCCAACAAGCAAAACTGCTGAATTTATGAAACTGCGCGCCAGACCGCTGACTGTCACGAATTTCTGGCCAGTAAACTAAATACTGTATGCCATATAATAAATTAAATTCCTCATTAACCGAATACGTTCGGTCCGTGCTGGAAAAATATCAGACCCCGGTCTTTTATGTACGGACCTTGCTATCGCTCTGTCCGATTTCCAAGACCTCGCGGTCTGACATTTTTCTAGTACGGACCTCAAATTCGGTTAATAAGTGGTATGTCTTAACTCTTAAGACACTTATATAGAAACAATACACCGGTGCACGTACTTCGATTTTATTAGACATTTTGTTTGCATACGATCATATTTTCCAGGCATAAAAACCGCTTATGCCCAATGCCAAGTCAACTTATTTTGCATAAAAAGCCATAATCACTTTGCAAGGTGTATAATTTATTAATGTTCATAGAAATTGTTCATGAAATCGACAAATGGTATATAGCGATGTCGTAAATTTTGTGAAAAACAACCGTTTCGAGCAGATAGTAACACACATTTCATAAAAAACCCGGTTTAAACAATGTTTTTTTTTTGCCATTCCTGGCAAGTACCGTAATATAGTGAGAATGTTTAAAATCAAAATTTCGTCAAGTTTTGGATTAGTATTATAATACAAAATTCCATAAATTTTGTGTGCCTTATTTTCTTTCCCTTCTTCATAAAAATAATTATCAGTTGATGTGGTCAGTACAGTTGAAATATTGCGCCTTACTATAACCAAAAGAACTTAAAATGTGTGACAAACATATCCATAATTTTCATACAAAAGCGGGTAAAAGACTTTATATGTTACGCTTGTGCATCATTATATATACCTACTTACATAAATGATGAAATTGAAGGTTTTCAGAAGCGTGCTTTAAGAATTATTTTGTCCCATCATGCTTATATCGATGCATTGGAAGAGTTGACATTCTCGCCATTTTTCAGCTGTTAACTTTTTTAGAGAGGATACCGCTGTAAAAATTATTATAATAAATTATAGAATAACACATGGATGCCCGGAAATAAGGACTATATTTCATGTTGAAACTACGCTAATAGAATGCCATAAAATGCAATGTTTAACAGACGGACAAAGGTTACATACGCTAAATTGCAAGCACGGAGTTCTGGATTTTTTTATACACAAATAATAGTTCCAATGATATATATTGTTCCAATGATATTACTGGAAAGCCACTTCTGTTTCTGCTCCGTTTTGTAGTTTGTTGAATTTCAGAAGGCTATGATTTGGGGCCTCTGCTCGTTCCAGATAATCATTTTTAGAGCCCGTTTTATTTTTTCCTCCAACGTATAAAGATAGTAATTTTGACCATTGGTTGGGTTTGCGTAAATTTATGTGAACAGATTGATCAGCGCTCTTGGAACAATACAGCAAAGTTTCATCAACGTCTCCGTTCCTCGATGGATTAGTCTTTCCTCCCTTGCACCACGATGGTGATTGATCTATTTGTTCCAGCTTTAATTGGGGTGATTTCACGCTTATATACAACCGTTTAGGACTTGTTGTTTCCTCTGTCATCATAATACTTTGTTGTAAAACAGATTTTATTGGACCACTTTTTCCTACTCTCACTGCCTTTGAAGGAGAAATAGGGAAGACGACGTAGCCATAGACAAGACCTCTGCCGTTATGTTCTTTGAATTCTACAACATGTGTTTTTGCAGATTTCTTAATGACACGATATCTGTTGCTCGGAACGAGTTGCGTCTTTTTCGTACCACTGGACGGTTCTGCATCTACTTGCACAGCATATTCATATTTCGATTTTGCTCCTGAGGGATTTCTACCGTGGTTAAACCACGCTGTGCAATACATGCCATTTGTTGCTTCGGGTGGATTTCTATTTGCCTTATAGGAATCTTGCCTTTTGTTACGATGAAGAACCAAACCTTGGCTGTCTGGATTAGGGACATAATACCTTTAAAGCGCAAAAAAGATCAATCATTATTCAGATAACAGCACCTAATTATCTTACACCGCAAGTCTCAACGATAAAAAATATTTATAGATAAAGTTCGTCTGCGTATTTTTGTTTGCAAAACTATCATGCTATAATATCGCTTTACAAAAAGCGCGCCTTCTTCGATGAGCGCGCGCGTGTATCCGACGTTGCACATGCACTCAAAGTTAATTGCTATGCTATCATGCTTCAAACATTGTGCTAATGCATGCATCATGGCAAGCACGCTGCATAAAAACAAATGCGTTTTCATAAAAAAAGTATACGAAGAACCACTTTTGTCAGTATTGATAATGCATTGATTAGTTACTTCGCTTTAAAAAAACTATCCATGGCCAAAAATACAGGTTAGTGGTGAGGTGTGTGGGTTCATGCGGTTCAGTTTTTATTTCAGGATCAGTTCTTAGTTTTGTATTAATTTTGACATGCACCAGTATATGGCTGCATTTCTGGCCATGATTGCATTATTTCGAAATTTATCACACAATAATAAAGTTGAAAATAATTAAAAATATATCTTTCATCATGCACAATTAATAAAGTTTGTCGACTGCGAGAATACATACACGATGTCGATTTACGTGGAATGGTTGGTATTTCCCTCTCTATAATTCTACAAATATATCTGGTGCTGGTATTTGGTGAAAATACATATTTCTCACCTGTTTCCATTAACATCCACCAGTATTGCCAGTTCAATATTTGACCAGGATGTTTTGGTCGATAAACCATTATTATTGCAAGAAAAGATATTTGAAGACGAAGTGCTGCTGGATGAAGAACTGGTTGAAGGCATCAAATCTTGGAACAATGTGGTATGAACTTCATAATTTTGACCATTGTGTTGAATGTTTGATCCAAGCGATACAATGAGATCGTCGTAGAAAAACACTGATTTCTTGAAGCGAAAATCAACTGTCTTAAAAGGTGAACTTTTTTCCCCAATATATGTGGGTTGTTTAAAGTCCATACCAAATACACCATTCCGAGATTGTCTTTTGCCTTTACTACCTTCGAGGAACAAACCACCGGCCATAGCATTATCCGCCGGGTTGTACTGTCGTGCACTACTGCGGCTATAGGTTGCCATATCTGTATACGGCAGGTTAACTGCAGTGGTACCAGGAATTTTTCTCCAATCCCATCCTTTGTCTATGTTTTTCGAACTCAGGGCTGCCTCACTGTTTGCTATTAGCATTGCTCCATGACTGCCATACATTCCATAGATATTATCCTTGCCACTTTCAAAATCCCAAACAAACTTGTCAAAACCTTTCATGGAAACTGCCCAGTCATCTCTGCGATGTACGCTAAACGATCCAAACTGTTTTGCCCAGTGACCTATTGGTGATTCTTCCGCTTTATAAAACCATTTTCTTGGGCCAATTTTGTATGTGGCGGCGAGGCGTTTTACTCTTTCTATGATTTCCAAAGAACCCAGCGTGTTCAAGTAGTAAATCCTTGATGCTTTACCCTGGCAAAGTCTTTCATTTAATTCGCCGGTACAGCTTCCAGGAACTGGTTGATAGAGTCGGAGACACATGCGAACTTCAGCTAAATCAGAGTTGAAATTCGGATCACCGTTGGCCAGGTAGTCTTTTGAAGGAGATTTCGTGGCCATGTAACAATAGGCTGGCACCATTTCAGCAAGAATGGCTTGATCATAACGCGGAAAACGCGCACCAATCGAACTAGGAGTCGAATAGAGAACAGCGCTTATTCGAAGGACTTTTAATGAGTCGATTATATTCAATTTTATCTGGCTACTTAACTCAAAGCTGTTTCTTCCAGCAGGGAAGAAATCAAAGCAACTGTATGCAATGCTTGAGGACCATATGCAGAGGCGTAAAATGTCTTGTGATGGAAAACCGTGTAATCTGGCTTAACAAGTCCCGAAAGTCCTTCAGTGACACTCAAGGCGTTCTCAACCCATCTTTTAAATGCGTCCATATCTCGAATCTTTTTAGTCTTCTCTTCCTTATTACTTTCAGGCATCGCAAGCACGGCCATCAATCGATACAACATTGCACTTCGTATCCTGTCCGCGGTACTGCCCTTGAACTCAAACGTTTCTTGGTAAACCTCTCCAAACTCCACATACCATTTCATCGTTTCAACCATGTCTGAAGCGAGATGTTTCGCATCAAGAACATTGAATGCAGAAAGCCCGTCATTTGAAGGAGTTCGTGGTCCATGGAGCCAAGCGCACTTCCTTTGCTCAACCCTTGATCTTTTAAGTAATTCATAAGCCCAATTATCTTTGTTTTACGAAGATTACTGATGCTCTCTAAAGCTCCCTTGACATGTTCAACGCAGGCTTTTTTACTGTTGAGCATTTAGGAGCCATATCGTTGCTGGTAGAATCAAACGAACGGCTATAGGAAGCTCTAAAAGACGCCTTTAATGAAGCATCTTTGCCAGTAATTGCTTCCACATCCGCATCAGCGAGGGTATTTCCGGAATCACAGTTATACTTTTTAGCGAATTCACAGGCGACATGTTCGACCTCGACTGTACGCGACTTAAGATGAAATTCTAACGTCAACGGAAGTAGGACCCTATGGTGAACGAACGAAAATTCTTCTATTCCACCGCGAGCTTTCGATTTGTCATTTCGTGAAAATAATCCAGAATTGGGAGTGGTCGAACCACCTTTTAACAACTTCTGATATTGTACTCGTGCATCGTCAAAATATTTCACCAAACTGTCCCACCGATGTTTAAGAAACGAGTCAGTTGTAGAGACACTGTGAGGGATTGTTGTAAATGCATGGGTGTCACTTGCGTACCAATTAATTAAACGTCGAGTTATTTCAGTAATAGCGGTCATTTTTGAGGAATCCACTGTAGAGGGTAATGAGGGATACGCAGGTTGTAGGCTCCAACGGTATATTTGATGCCAGAACGATTTTCGCCTGTGTCTTAACAAAGCATCTTCTTGAG